GTGTTCTGCTCGGTTTCTGTGGCATTAGCTGCCGCATGTTTCTGCTAGTGTGTTGTATGTGCATGGCTGCGTGTCTGTATGTATGTATGTATGTATGTATGTATGTACGTACGTACGTACGTAGGTACGTAGGTATGTATGTATGTATGTATGTATGTATGTAAAGATAGGTAGACATAGATATAGACATAGATATAGATATAGCTATAGCTATAGCTATAGCTATAGATATAGATATAGATGTGTGTGTGTGTATGTATATATATATATATACGTATCTGTGTGTGTGTGCGCGTGCGCGTGCGCGTGCGCGTGCGTGTATCCCCAGACCCATCGCCGTACGAAGCCTCCCCCCTGCGGTGCCTTCAAGAAGGAGGCTTCGAAGTCCTGCGGCTTCCGGCCCCGATCGGATTCCGGACAAGGCGGCAGCTCCTCCGGGTTTCAGCTTCGAGGGTGGGAAAGGCTTGAAGGGGAGCTTCGGGTTAGGGTTCAGATGGGTTCAGGGTTCAGGGTTTAGGGTGTTGGGTTTAGGGTTTTGGGCCTTGGGCTTTGGGGTTTAGGGTCTCGGATGGCCTCGAGGGCTTGGTGTCAGCTGTTGGTGAGCCGATTGATGAAATCTTCGATTGCTCATGTCTCCAAGGATTTTCATAGCCCTTTCTGAGCTGCGCTTCGATAAGAGCAGGGAAGCTTCAGGGGTCCTTGATCAGGTACTGCCCGTCGCCTCCTCAGTTGGGTTTCGGGCGTGTTGGTACTGACACTAGGGGCATCTTGTCCGGAAGAGACGCTGGGAACGCCGTTTCGATACAACTCCGGCGGCAGATAGTTTTGCAGGGGGGCAACACATGGGAGCAAAAAGCCGGTCGCGGTCTCTTGCTGAGAGTCGCAGGCGGTAGCCCAGTTTCCGGTAGTAATTGCGCACACCTCGGCCGCTCAAAGAAGAGGAGCTTCAACCATGCGAGTATGAGGAACCATGAACGGATCCTCTCATAACAATAACTCAACATTTACACTACATTCGCTGCATGCTGCAATTGTCTGAGCTGAGAGCCCACTCCCGCAATCACCGAGATCTTCTGGTAGCCATGAGCGGCAGCTATGAGCTCGGCGGTACCCATGAGTGTCCTGCCGATTCCTTGGTGTGCCCATCACTGAATCAAGAGTCCCCGTGACTGGACATGCTTTTGGCTTTAGAGGCAAAGCTTTGCAGCACTGGCACTGGCAGCTCTGTCTTGTCTACTGGTTTGTGCAATAAGACAATCTTTGGCCAAGGCCAAGCATCCAATGTGCTGCGGCCGGTCATCGCTTAAGCTGCGCGTGGACTCTTCGCGCCCTGCTGCCACGAGCGTACCGTAGACGTGCAGCTCACGGATCAAGGCACAGCCGCCTAATTCCTCGCAGGAATGGGTAGGAATGCACCGAGAATCGAGAAACCGAAGCCTGGCACCGAAGACCAAAGCTCCGTCACCAAAAGAGACCTGCATCCCAAGCCCCAGGCGGAACGGCTCCAGTCCTGGAAGACCGGACTGGGTGCTCGTGGGTCGTCGTTGAAGCGCAGACGCAGGAGGCCGTAGAGTGTGGTGTTCTCTTCGTCGGCATCCTTTTTAGAACCGACGAAGAGGAGAACAACAGCAGCGGCAGCAACAATTTGCAACAACGACGGCCATTTCGGATGGAGCCACCAATATGTGCTACTCCTTGTCCCGTCTAGGAAACGACAGAGACGCTTGCGAGAAAGGTCTGTCAGCATCCCAAACCCCTAAACCCCTAAACCCCCAAACCCCTAGCCCCTAAACCCAAGCCTGATCGACTTCGACCGTGGGCTTCGGCGTCGCAGCTGCGGCAAGCGCGGCAGCTGCAGCCTCCGCTGCACAGGGCATGAAACCATATTTAGGTTTAGGGTTTCGGGTTCAGGGGTTTAGGGTTCAGGGTTTAGGTAGGCTCAACCCCGAACCCTAAGACTTTGCAGCCTGATATTATACAATGTATAAGGCTACGAGAAGTTGATATAACAGAACGGAACATAATGTGATATACTATAACCCAACATAACATGGTACATTATAATGGAATGGAATAGAATAGAATATGCCATAATTTTGTACAGTATAGTACAACTTAATATAGCAGTATAGCATAGTATAATATAGTCATAGTATCATAACAATGATAAGCCCAAGGAGATTCGTTTTTGTCCTGGGCTCTTCGGGCCTTCTTTCGCTCCTCGCGAGTTCCGCCGGCGGCTGAGGCCGCCTTCGCCGCGGCCTCCGGGGACCAGGCTCGGGTGCCTACGTTTAGAGCTTGTTGGGGGCTTCATAGGGTTTAGGGGTTTAGGGTTTAGGGGTTGAGGATTTAGGGGTTTAGGGTTTAGGGGTTTAGAGTTTCAGGGTTTTGGGTTCAGGGTATAGGACTCGCTTGAGACAACGATGTATAAGGCCAATTATAGTGTTTGTGCTACGATTGTGAGTATAGGGCTGATTGTCTGCTGGGCACATTATCCGACCCTGCATTTGGAGCACCACCTGTCTAATGGACGAACACACCGAGCGCATGCTGTATATTCTCGGAATCAACACCAGCCAAAAACGCAAAGATGCAGTGGCAGACGAATCATACATACCTCGTGCGCTTCACTGTGCAGCTTGCGGTAAGAGCTTCAAACTATGTCATCCTTCGCGCCTTCATCTCGGCCTGGGCATTGGCGTCACGAAGTGCAGACTTCTTCTCCTTGCGCTCCTTTTTGGTGGCCTTCTGGCCACCCGCCAGGGCCCGCTGCGTGGCTCCGCCGCCGAAGCCCCGATGGCCTCCCTCGATGGAGATGAAGAACTCCGTGCCGCCTGGGCACGGTTGACAGCAGGTACTATAGGGCCCTTAACAAACCGACTATGCAACCATCGTTGCTAAGCACAGTGACTACTACAATTGGGAATCTTCGAAATCCTCATATTGTCAGCAGATGTTGCATGAGTTCCTGTCACGGTTCTGCTGCCACTGTCGAGGCCGAGTTGCTGGAAGATCGATACTCACGAACCTCAACAACATCATCCGACCCCCACTCACAAGCGACGGCACAAGTGGCTCTAAAGTCTCGCGTCCGTCACGATGGTCCTTGCTTGATACATATTAAACCATATCAAACACGGAATCTTTTCCGATCTACATTGAAGAGCTCCAAATTAAAGGCTCGCAATCTCTCGACAGCCAGAGACAGGACGTCCCTCACCGGACGAGTGCAAGGCCTGCTAAGCTGAAGGATTGTCTTTTCATCGCTGGCAATTATCACCTTCTTGTCCCCACGCGAATCTGCTTCCTTGAAAGATACTTTCGGAAGCTTCCGTGCACCAGAAATCCCCTGGTTGAGCCTGCGCGTGTCTCTTGCACATCAGACAAGAAGTCTCACGTAATGAATACATGCGGCTCTCTCGGTGCCTGTCGGAATACAAAGATTACCCCTTGGCCCTGGTACGGGTGACTATGAGTGTAGAGAAGCCTATGGAGGCAAATCGCGAACGAGAACCGGCTCTGAGCCCTTGGCGCGAAGTTTGAGGCCATCTGTGGTCTCCGGCCAATCTCGTACCTCTGGCACAGACAAGCGTTCTTCGCTCTGCATAGTTAGAAGACTCATAATAACAGCAATGAAGGTGATGATCATGAACATGATTATGGGCGGTAGCGGTAAAGGGGGAGAGGGTGGTGAGGGTGGTGGTGGTGGACCATCCCGACACTCGGGCTGGTTCGCAGAGTGTTCGGGCTATGTAGCGGGTGATCATTTGGATCAACAACATGGCGGACAAGGCACAACACTAACTGTACGACATGCCGGCCCAAGACAGCCAAGACAAGCTGAAAACAGACGGACGACCCGACCTCATCAAAAACCGCCTCGGATTCGCCTAGCCTGGAAGACTGTGTTTGAAGAACTAGTCACGGGTCACCTCTCGGCAGCGGATGCATCGGCAACACTGGCCACGCGACTTGAGCACCTCCTGGGCTCAAGCGCATTGTACTCTCGCTGTCGCAGCATAACCAGCATACAGGCGCCTCGCACTCCCCCCTTCACCCCCCCCCCCCCCCCCCC